TCATCATATCAGCAACAGGCATTACACCGAATAATTTTAAACCATATCTCACACAACTACAACTAGACCCAAATATACACCAAGAAATACAAAAGGCGGTTATATTAAAAACATGTAACATAATCAGAGCCTTCCTAAACTCTGAAGATTAAAGCTGTCAGACCTGGCAAAAGGCCTGTCTGACACGCTAATATGCCCGAGAAATCGGAGAGAAATAATTAAATAACAATAATAATAATAATAATAATAATAATAATAATAATAATAATAATAATAATAATAATAATAATGATAATAATAATTTATTCAATTTTGATACATGCACTTTGTTATCAACAAAACAATTAAATATAAATATCACAATAAAAATTATAAGTATTCCAAACTTAAACTGACCACAGCCGTTATTTATACATACTAAAGATAAACATGGCTGCGCATTGCATCGGAAGCGGTCCAACAAAATTTTCAGTCAATAGCAACACCAGCAACACGTATGGCGCGTCCCTCCTATAGGGTCCCTATGGTGCGCTTCATCTGGCGGTGCGCGATTTTTGCTTGTTCAAACCTGTATACGCGTTGTATGTTTGCTCATTTGTACATTGAGTGCTTATTATGCAAGTTGTAACTCGTGCAGTTTTTTCATTCTGTTCAGTATTGAACCCTCCGTAGGCAATAAACATTATATTTTGTTATTTTTTTTAATATTCAATTTTTGTTAAACAAATCCTGCGATAAGCCTATGAAATAAAATAATATAAAATACGATAGGAAGTAGGTATAAGGTATCGTTTACTTAAAGATTAAGAAATTCTGAAATTCCATAAAATCCGAAACCATCTCAATGATCATAAAAAATATTGGTTATAAATGTTTTCAATGAATATACGTTAAATTTTCATTAATTTAATTTTCAGCGTCTAATAGCACCGTCTAATAGTACAATTGAATGCGTAGTACTGGTAGTACGTACTGCCCAATGAGAAAATCTAGCGCGGACTACCGGTGGTACGCGACGCCTAATGAAAAAATCTAGTGCTGGCCACCGATGGTACGGGTCGGCGTGAACGTGTTAAAGTTTGTTTGTATAAAGTTAAATTTTTATTTTAAAACAGTCGTCCAGATTGTTCACAAATTAGAGTCAGCGAATCAATGAAGATTTAAAATTTACTGTGTTTTAAGATTAAAATAAAATGTGAAATTTTTGTACTAGCATTGACTGCGTGCAAAAGTAGTTTTTTAATTAGTTATAGAGTCAGTGGTACTCGTTCGAGTAACAAGTTAAAATCAAACGCGAATTAGTGTCCGAGTTGTTCACCGTATAAGAAAATTTCGTTCGCGATAAGAAACTCATCTATAGTTTCTTATTTTTGTTTATACCGCGTTATTAGATTCACGCAAATGCATCATCAAGGAATATCATCGAGGAATTTTCAGATGAATCTTGAGGATTGATGTGGCTAAACTGTTTTCTTATGAAGTAGGAGTGTTTTGGAGCCATCACAGAACTTCTAATGCTATCTGTTCATGTTTCATATATGCGCCATTTTAATTTAAAAATATTACATTATATGCTATATAACAGTTGGTAACGAATGAGTGAAAAATTTAAAGTTCATCCGGTGCTCAATCATGCCGAAGATGAAAGGTCCTAATCGACACGAGCTACTAGCGGTTATAATTATTGAAATAAATTATTGATGAGAACACGAGAGTAATTCCTATTTTTTAGAATTGCTCATGAAAATGGTATAATCTATTTTATATTTTATTAGCTTAGGATAGATTTTCTTGTCTATATTGGATAAAGTCATTAATTTTTATCTAAAAAGAGAGAGAAAGTAGTTTTAATAAAAGGAAAAAAAAATATATATAGGTCTCCCTCCAACAACACGGTAGATAGGTTCCTAGAAAATGACGTGTTATTTGAAACCGTGTTGTTTGAGACCCAGAGCCAATGCAAAAAGGGGATTACGTTCCGAAAACTTTTTAAAAACAAATATATATTTTTTTTTAAATAAACAACCTAATTTTTATTAAAAATATAAATGTATGAACAATACAAAACAAAAAATATTATCTTAATTTAACGCAATTTTAATTTAATTTATTTCTTCGTCGTCACTGCTCAATTAATTCAACCGAGAACGTTTTTTCGGTGGAATGATATCGCTTTGACTTTCAGAACGTTTTTCTTTTTTTTTAAGTTCTTGCATCTTCTTCCCTCTTTAAAAAATCTGTAATTTTACTTTGCTTGTTGTTTCTTACCAGGTCATTATAAATTTCTTGGTATGGAGCTAGACAGTTTTGATGCTTCCTTTTGAATTTTCGGCTCCTTTCTTTGGAAGGATCTGCATTCAAGAAAAATGACTCGAGATTTTCAGCTAAGTTAGGCCTTCTTGTAATATTTTTAATGTTAACTTATTAACAGCACAATCTTCATCAGTGCTAGTGTCCTCAGGATCAATTTGATTTACAGTTTCGGATACCATTTCCATCAAATCCGCTTCGTCAACTTCTTCTTCCACTAATAAACCTTGAACGTCTACAATAGCCATTTCCATAAAACCTTCGCTTCCGATTGATTTAGCAAGTTTTGATATGCAACCAATTTCATTTTGTGACGATTCCCGCACGTTTTCTATTTCAACTGAAGGGGGCCATATCTTCTTCCAACCCGCATTTAACGATGATATTTTCAGTTCACACAACATGAGACACTTTTGTTTTCAGGCCATGGAGATAAAAAGAAATACTTTCCGCAACACTGTATCTTTAAGACGGCAAGTCTCACCGCGGCTGTAGAAGTACAGTGTTGTAAAAAGGTTTTTTGAAAGCAAATCGTTTAATAGGATGCCGTGTTGTAGGAGGGTTCCCGCAATTATGAATCATGTTATAGCGAAATCGTGTTAGGAGAAACCGTGTTTTTGGAAGGATACTTGTACAGGATGATTCACTAATTCTTGCCATCTAAATAGCTTCTAAATTATGATAGAAGCTAAAAAGTTTATCAAAGAAAAGTTGCATGAAAAATTCAGGACTATAATATGATGTTAGTTTCTTGTTGTTACTAGGTTGAGTCTCTTTTGAGATTTATAGGTTAATTTTGTTTTTATAAATACAATGCTATATTTTAATATTCATTTTTTGATAGCAGCTGTCAAGACGAATCCAATAATAATTAAAAATCGTATTACATAGAGAAACACTTTTTCATGACGAACAAAGGGCGTCTCTTATATCTACTGAAAGACTAAAAAAGTCATTTTCC